TAATTTTTTTCAGTTAATGAGACAAATTTCATTTTTTAAATTTTTTTTTGTTGATGTGATGACAACTTGATAAGTGTGAAAAGGAGGAATATGCAATCCTTTCAATAACTTTTTAAACTTTAACTAGCATAGATGGTCAAACTTATTAGTTAGCTATACCTGAATACCATATTGTTTATTAAGAATCTGAATAAATTCAGCAGATTTCTAACCTGTTAAGGAAACTAAATAATGATTGGAAAATAATCACTCAATATAAATCACCTTTAGAAAAGAGGAAATGTTTGCAATAAATATTTAATTATGGAAATTAAATATATTTATTTAAATTTTTTAGTCATGCACATAACAATTCACTAAATAAGGGCTATGTGGACAAGTATTCTCAAACCTTACAGCATCTTGTAATGCTGCATAACATAATGAAAAGTATTTGAAGAAAGCACTTAACACAAAATTCAATAGGTGCAGACATTATTAAACTAAACTTAAATTGTTTAGAGTAAAAACTGGGAGAAACTAAACATTACCATCTAGACTAGTGAGATGTCTTCTATACATTTTTCTAATGCTGAAAAGGATGAGTTCAAAACAAAATTGATAGGACTAATACCTATCTACATATTAGATATTATGATATTGATAAAAAAAAAGTATTGGGCCCTAAAATATAAGTATGCTGAATATTCTACTGTATATAAAAATGCTGAATAAAATGGAACCAAAACAAAATTGATAAGACTGCTTTCAAGTATTAAAATCTTAATTTTTTACATATCTTTTTATGCATAAAACACTTAAAAACTAAAAAAATGTTAATTCTATGAAGTTACATTTGATTTTATTGAATTTAGAGTTAAAAAAAATTAATAAAAAACAATGCCTGAAAGTATTCACTGAAATGACAGATGCATAAATATGTAACAGAACAAAAATTATAAAATGTTACATTAAAACTATAAAAATTATATTTATTATATTAAAAGTATATTAACTACGAGTCCTATTAACTATTATAATAAAAATAAACTATAACAGTAGCTTGTGTACATACTTATATTTTTGTATATAACAAAAAGTTATTTATATTGATTTAATTTTTATAATACATAATAAAGACCTTATTCCTTAACTTAAAAATCACATTCAAATCATCGTACATAGCTAATTTAAACAATGGAATGATAAGGAAAAATATAATAATTTCAAATACTAGCAAGATTATGTATTTTCAAACTGATCTGAAAAACACTATTTAATCATGATTTGCACAATGCATTAAGTCTGAAATTTGTGTTCCAATATAGCTAAGCAAATTAATAACTCTTAGACGATGTTATTCAGATTTTTGACAGTATAGGACAGGGGTGGCGAACCATTATACACGAACGTGCCATTTTCTTTAAAAAATTGCTTAATGAGGTCATAGACGTGCCGTCAAATAATTTTGACTTCGTGATTATTGGGAAAATAATAATACTAAATAATATTAACTAAAGACTCTTTATTTACATTGAAAAAAAAAAGCATTTTGCAATGTCTCAGTTATACGTGTAATTCAACTTAAAGTAACATCAGTGTGACTTCTGTTGTTGCAGATTAGATGACAAATAAGTAATAACTTATATTAAGTTGTAAGATGTTAGTTTAAGCAGGACTGTTAATTTTCCTTTGCTAGTTATTTATTGTAACTTGTTTTTAATGGCTATATATTGTTTTTTTAGCATTAATTGTTAACTTTTTTATTAATAATTGTTTATTATTTTGTGTGTTTTTTTTTAATTTTAATTTAATTGCTACATATGCTTCATAGTGTAATAACAATTCGTAGTGTAATAACGAATGTGATTGGAGGCGTGCCCAAAATATTGTGTCGGGTGCCATAAATGGCACGCGTGCCATTGGTTCGCCATCCCTGGTATAGGATAAACCAAAGTATGGCAATCAGAGAAAAAAAATTTTTTTTAGATGATACAAGTAACTAATAGGGTATAAGTTTAAAATGTAAATAATGGTAAATGCTGAATTGATGACAAGTATATAATTAAAGATAATGAATTAGAATGATATAAATGAACAATTTATCAACATAATTAAAAGAATATCCTTAAGTGACAAACACAATTATATTTAAAAAAAGAAAACATTTATATTAATTAATCAGAGGTCTCTAAAGAGAATAAAAGACACATGTCTTACCCGAGAAAAATGAATATATTTTGTAAAAACACTGCAACACCAGGCCCTTGAGGATCTTTCACTAAAAGAGAATTGTCTATTAACAAGAATAAGAGCCAGCACATAAGATTTTTTGGATGCAACAGAAAAAATAATTAACATATGATGCTTCAAAATATTTGAAAAATAAAATTTAATTTAATAAATTAAAAACAAAATTAAAAATGTATGCATTCCATAACTAAATAATATGGTACATAAAATGATGTACACGAGAAAAAAAAAGTGTAAACAACAGATATGACTACAAAGTAGTCATCCTTAGAATTTCTTGAGGAGGAGTTAGCAACTAAACCTTTTAAACAGTTATTATTTATTAGCAAATATTTTTTATACTTACAGTGAAAGAAATAAAGAAAAAATATTATTTATTCACAATCATAAATGTTACTCATTGTTAGGAGTTTAAGACAGAAAACAAATATTTAAAAAAAAGCTTCCACTATCGAGATTGATAATGAGTTCGATATGGTTTACTGTTATAAGTTATAAACAAATAGAAATTTTTGTTTATAGTGAGTAAGAACTAATTTGGGAAAAAAAATCACTAAATATGGTTCTTATTAGGCCATGTTGCAATTTGTTCATGGTTGTAAGACAAAATATAAAATGATATTGTAGCAAATTTTTTGTTTAAAAAATTTCGAGATTGAACTTTTTATAAAAATAATTAAAGGGTGAGTATCAACAAGACTATAAGCTTGTACATAGTCGAACTTTTTAACACTAAAATGAAAAATTATTAAATAGAGACAGAATTTGAAGTTTAAAGCAAAATACACAGAACTTATATATTCCATTAGTATGCTATGTTATTTGCTTTATAAGGGAAAAAAAGCAACTTTTGTGTAACAAGCATAACTTAAGATATCAATTTAGATATGCATAATTATAAATCATAATTTAAAAAAATTAAAACAGTAAAAACATAATTTTTTAATTTAAATCTCATCTTTCAGATATCTTTAAATACAACAAATAAAAGGCAGAAGAATATGTAAGACAAATTATTTATATATGTTTACTTGGAATAACATATAAGCCAAATAATATCCAGCACGATCCAATAAGGGAACCAAAACCAAGAACAAATCCCAGGAAAAGCCACACCCTTGCTCCTGGAAAAAACAAAGCATTTTATCTTCAGAAAATAAAATACAAACAATAAAAAAAAATTGCTTTGAACTAACAAATAAAATAACAATACATTGTTTAAGTTTATATAAAAAATACACATTTAGTCTATTTAAATCTGTATTAGATTCAACAAAAATTGTATTCATTTAAATAAGTTTCATTAAAACATTCATATTTTACCTCTTTGACCCATACAACCTGTTGTATATGCATCACCCCTAACTTGACCATTGGAGACAGCATTTATCCTGCAAGATAAATATGCAAATAGAATACCCATTATGAATTATAATATTGATAACTTTTTATATAGTAAAAAGAAAATGACAATAAAAAAAATTAGAATAGAATAAAACCAATTTTATTTATTAACCAACTTACTGAACTACAATAAACTTTGCTATCGTTTTTTTTCTTCTCTTTTTTCGTTATTCACATTAACTATATCCATGTGATTTTGATGTGATGGAATTTCTTACTAGATCATAAACTAACATTTTCTTTAAAAAAAATCAACCTCATATATGAAAAGTTTTTTAATAATAATTTTATTTATTATTATTTCTTTAGTAATAGAGAACATGAGTTTTATAGAATGACT